AGGACATCGATTGTTTCAATTGAATTCTCCAACCGATGTGATTATCGACAAAGAGACCAATAGTCTCATTATTTGTGATCAAGGGAATCGACGAGTCGTACAATGGTCTCGTCATAATGGCACCACTCAACGAGAAATCCTCATCGAGGACATCGATTGTCTGGGATTGGTCATGGATGATCAGAGATATCTCTATATCTCTGACGAAGAAAAACATAACGTGACACGATATCAAAAAGGAAACAAGGATGGAACCATCGTCGCTGGTGGCTATGGTAGAGGTGATGCTCTCAATCAACTCAACTATCCGCACTATGTCTTTGTCGATCGACAACAGGCTGTCTTCGTGTCAGACTACGGAAATCATCGTGTTATGAGATGGGATAAAGGTGCAACATCAGGGATTGTCGTTGCTGGAGGTCAAGGCAAAGGGAATGCTCTGACCCAATTATCGTATCCTGAAGAACTATTCGTCGATACATGGGGTACTATCTACGTTGCAGACGCAGGAAATCATCGAGTGATGCGTTGGCACAAAGAAGCGACCCACGGTACTGTAATTGTGGGTGGAAATGGTTGTGGAGAAGCAGCAAATCAATTAAACAATCCCATAGGTTTGTCCTTTGATCAACATGGCAATCTTTATGTTGCTGATCAGCTGAATCAGCGTGTTCAACAATTTTCTATCAAATAGACGCATTACCATGGTTATTATTTTTTTCTTTCGTTGAAAATAAATTATGGTAAATAGAAAAGAAATGCCTATTCATAGGCAGAAAGGGATTTCATTCTTATTCTATTCACGCATGAGCGACCGGAAAACACCCTGGTGGGTGTGGGTGTGGGTGTGGGTGTGAACACAAGGAATAGTCACACCCACATTCACGCCTGCCCACACCCATACTCACGCCTACGCCCACCCACCCACACACACCCCCATCCGACATTCACACACACACAGCCGCACCCAATATATTAAAAAACTCATCAGAGCTGCGCATTAACAACAATAAAGAAATAAGTAAAAGGTAATGCAATTGAAAAAATAAGTGGGCTGTGCAGACGAGTGTTGTTCTTTTCTTCACCCACTTGCACACCCGCACCCGCACCCACACACTCACACCCACACAGTCACACCCACACACAACACACCCTAGTGGATAGAGCTAGCAATATTGTACTTAAAACACTGAGTAGGAGCTCTAGAACAGGTTTTTGAATGAATTGCCGCTGACATTATGCGAATTCGCTACTAATTTAACCTACACTCGGGGCCAATACTCTTCTCCTACGGTTTTTTATTATACTATCAAACTTCATGCACATGACATTTATTACCGAGATATGACATAAGTTTGATTTCACCCATGTAAAAATTTTTAGCAATTTAACGAAGTTTTGTGACGCGAAAATTCGTTAAAAAGTTAACGACTTAACAAAATTTAATGTTACCT